TTAATGCTACTTTTTTGGTAAAGGAATTTACAGTTTAAGTCTCGCTTTTGTACTAAAAGATATGTTCCACCATATAGCAGGGACAGAACCAGTCAACAAATTATTCTCGAGTGACCTGTAATACAAATCATTACAGAAATCAGATCCAGTCTGCATAGAAGTGCAATATTATACGAAATACAGATTTAGGGAAGTTAGGAGATTCTCACAATTTCTGAAGTGAAGGAAGATCAGAGAAACTCTCAGGAATAGATCCATTAAGCTGGTTATTTGACAGATTGCTGCAATAAATAACGAAAATTAAACAGGAAAAGTTTATAAATTACTCAGATTAAACAGAGACAGTGATATGTAATAATTTTTTTGTCATATTCATTTAAAGTTAACATGCTGATGCAGCAAGAAGTATAAATAGAACAAGTTACAAGTTTTTTTTTGGGACAGGCAGACAAGTTACAAGTTTACTCGGGCCATTTGCATACATTGTTGTCATATTGTGAGAGAGTCTATGTGAAGGTATGGATCCACTCAGATGATTCCAGCTTAGATCTCTGTGCAATGAACCCAGTAAAAGGTTAGATAATAGAGGTATAAATAAAAGAGTAAATAAATGCATTATAGTGTCCATTAATTCAAGGTTGATGAGCCATCTCCATACTTACAGATAAAGAAGGTTAGGTATCCTGCTAAAATCAGGAATTTCTCCCTGCAAGCTACAATTCCTAAGACTTCTGCCAAATCAGAAAGAAGGAAAAAGTAAAACTATTAGCAACCTTTTCAAGCAAATTTATGCAACATGTAATAAACACAAAATTAAAGCACTTCAAACATCTCGGGAAGTGGAAATACTGGATTTCAGAGGTCATTTGGATATCAGTGAAATTCTAAGCATCCACAATGATGCTCTCTATTTCTTAGCTAAAATTTAGCTAAAAATTTAAGAAAGCTATTTTAGGAGCTCTCTAAAAAATTTCAACTCCAACCATACTCCCTAATTTGGAGAGTCATAAATGCTATAACTCTTTTTTGATTGGTCAATCTCTATTAAAAAATAAAATAAAAAATAGTTAGCATTAAATAAAGGTTTGAAATACTCATTAAATAAAGCAGCATTAAATTATAGGGAGCCACTCGGAGTTCTTTCTCTCTCCTTAGATTTAGGATCTCCTAGAGCACTCCCTATTTTAGGAGGTGGATAGGGAGCATGGTTGGAGTTGCATTTTTATAATTCCTCCCTAAAATTTGTCTAAAGAGGTGGTTTAGGGAGCCCATTGTAGATGCACTAGAATTCCTATTGGAATTACCTTGCATACGACCTTGATCACCAAATTAATGCAACTTGCTTATAGTCCTAACGTAAAGCAGTATAAACATGAACCATCAATTCAACAAGAGAAAGATACGAATACTAAAACTTACATTTTTGCTAATTGGGAAAGGTTTCCATAAGAAGCTGGAATCTCAGTCCCCCTGAAGTCGTTGTTATCAAATTGACTGCAAATGGAAGAGAAAACAATAATTTCCATCAACCAAGAAGAAATCTCGTCGAGAAAAAACAGATTACCTACTGAGATCACACAAAAGGAAACAAGTTACTCCAAACTAAAAAATCCAGACAGTGTTGAATTAGGACGTACATTATGCGCAAGTTTGGTAAGTTGGACAATTCTGGTGGAAGATATCCAGATAAGTTATTATTATCAAAAAGCCTGTAAAAGTTTGCGTAAAGTATACACCATCAGGAATCAGTCAACAAGTATCAATACAGAACAATTTCCCAAAAACACAAGGAAATAACGCTTTAAGAACTCACAAATGAAGAAGAGCGGGTACTTTAGAAAGCTCAGACGGAATTTGACCACTGAAGGAGTTGTTGTTCATGTGGCTGCAAAGCAATTAATGTACATGCAGCTGTCAAACATGAGAAATATAAAATGCTAGCCAACTTCAAGTAGCATTTAGCTTGAACATGTACTTACAGATGTTTCACATTGACCAAGTTAACAAATGATTTTGGTATTGGACCTGACATAAAGTTTTGGTCAACTTGTAGGATATTTAATTTTGAAAGGTAACCGAGCTCATCAGGTAAAGAACCGGATAATTTGTTTCCACTCAAGAGCCTGCATACAATTCATCACAAAAAAAATTATGAAAATTGTGTACTGTAAAAGAGAAAATTATGTTGATATTCCAAAAACAAGTGTACGCAGAACTATAGATTGGTTGAACTCAACTTACAAGAGTTTCAAGGATGTCATGTTTCCCATCTCCTTTGGTATAGTGCCACTTAATTCATTCCACATGAAATCTCTGCCGGAAGAGAAGAAAACAAAATACAAAACATTAGAAAACAACTAAAAGGATAATCAGGAAAAAAAACCTCCAGAAAAGTGGAATCACAGATCAATTTTTGAGAGGCCAGACTCACAATATTAGAAGGTGAGATAGTTGGCCAAGCTCAGGTGCTAAACTTCCTGAGAGATTCATGTTCAGCAGTTGGCTGCAACAATCATAATTAAGAAAAAAACATTATCACTCACTGTGCGGGTTAATCTGGAATGGAAAAGGTAAGAGCAGTATGAAAAAAGAACGCATACAGTTGCTCAAGGTGCAAGTACCCATCAGCCCCAACAGTATTATTAAAACAAAAAACTCCAGTCCAATTAGATTTACAAGGATCCCCATTGTTCCAGTTCTTGAGATGCTTCCGAGGATCACTTAAACTGCTCTTAACTGCTCTCAATGCATTGACTGCAAAAGGGCACAAAACATAATTCATACTTCTCAATTGAATCATATAAGAATCATATGGAAATGATTGAATTGCATTGAATTAAAGCTGGATATAACAGGTAAGAAATATAGCATATGTGCAGCAAACTCACCTTCAGAAGGATGTGTAACTTGTGCAACCGCAAGGAGGACGAAACAAGAACACAACAGAGCAATGACACATCCACAGACTCCCATTCTCAGCATTCTAACACCCTATGGAAACGACCCAATGAGCAATTTCTATAAAACTTGCAAACACTAAATTCAAAATCTTGACTTTCTTTGTCATAAGAAGTAAAACTAGAACATGCAACAAAACACAAAATAAAGATAAAAGAAAACAGTTGGAAAGTTTTCTCTCAATTTTCAAAAGCAAAATCATACTTGACACTGTAAGTGGTGGACTTTGAGACTTTGTTGTGAGAGAAAGATACTGCTCAGGAAGCACACACAGTTCCAAACACAAACATCAAGGCCGAGTCAATGGGAAGGCTAAGAATGGTGGTCTGTGCACAGAGAAAGAAGGCCTGAGCTACATCATTTTCGTCATCATGAGCATCAACGTAAGTTGTAACATTAATTAGATCGTTATAGTATGTTGAGTAAGGTTGGTCTTTGTTTTCTTTTGTTTAATGTTTTTAGAGACGTTGACTTTTCTGTACCTATTACCTAAAGTCCACCAAAAAAAGTTTTTCATCTGCCATTATATCATTGGTCGGGAATAGTATGCTATATTCCTGTTACAAGAATGTTTTTATGCTAGTTGGGACTGTACATAGTATTTTTGTCAAGTAAGCTTTTAGCATTTTCATAAGCAATCAATCATAAATCACATTTAAGTTAAGTAAGTGAACATGCTTGGTTAGTGGTCATTAACATTGAAAACCATATTGGTTTTGGGTTGAGTTAAGTTGATATCGTACTCGTGTCTGAGATTACCTTGTTTAGAACTTCTATTTAACTGGATTTCTAATATTAACTGTAGCTACTAAATCTTTATTTCACAAAGGATTTTAATCCATAAAAAAATTATATCAGCAAAAAGATTCGAGTTCATTGGCAAGACGTGCCAAAGTACGAATGCAAGTACAAATTTGCTGGTTTTTATTGGAGGGCATAAATTGTCAATTTCAAATTCCATTATAATATTCATCCTATTAGTATTTCCAATTTAATATTAGACCCAATTGCTCTGGAGACTTGCAATATTGCTTACACGTTACCACAAGTTCCCTTGACAATTGCTCCGGAGACGCCATTAGTAGCGTCTCCAAATATAATTTTGACATTTTGTAGAATTTATTAATGAAATACATCTCTACTTGACAAGGACTCACTAAATCACAGAGGCAGCCGCCCTCCAAAAATATCTTGAAAACTGGCATTGTCTTTTCCTCAAGGATGACAAAATTGGTATTGTAATTTGTAATGTCAGTCATGTTGATATGAAGACTCCAAATTGTGCATTAATACATGACAACCATCTGAGCTTTATACTTATAGATAGCTCTTGGACCACATCTGGAATATGACCTATTTTCCTTGCATCTGACATCTCTCTTAGAGCACATCTGCATCACCTATTTTCCTTGCATCTGTTTCTATAATTTGGTGAAAATGCAATCATAAATATTGAATTTCTTTAGAAACTGACTTGACATTCTGAAACTGGCCATCCAGGCATCCAATAAAGAGCAAACCAATCACACCTTATTTACCTTCAACTTCAGAATACTGAAGCAACTATACTTCCAGACAGACTCTTGATGCAGGAGCATAGGGTGGATCAAGATAGATATTTATCATTTAATTAGTTATTTCATGATATATTGTTATTTTCTTATTTAGGTAGTTTTAGGATATCTTTTATTATTTATGTGTGATTTTATAATTAATTAGTTTACTTTT